GACATACAGCTCCCTATTCACCATGTCTGGGTCCTCCCAAGAGCTCCTTCAACCAAATTAAGTTATTGTAAAGGGAGGGAAGGTAGAAGAGGAATATTGAGAGGATTATTTAAGGGAGTTAAGAATAATGGGGCAGCTAATAGGGAAGGTGGTGCAGTAGATAGAACACTGAACCTAGAGTCAAAAAGATTTGAGTTCAGATCTGCCTTCAGACACTTACTGTGTTACCCTGGGCAAGTCACTTAACCCTGTTTGCCTCAGTTCCTCATCTGTAAAATGAGGACAGAGAAGGAAATGGCAAACCACTCAGGTATCTTTGCCAAGAAGACCCCACGGACAAGTCTACGGGTCACGAAGAGACTGACATAACTGAACACAATGACAACAAAGAGTGGACTTTTAAAAAGCAGTATCTGGGAGAACTTTATTTTATCCCTAACTTACCTTTAAATAATTTAGACCTTGACCAATATGTTAATATCTACCTATAACTTTTAGTCTTAGAAAACTGCCTGAGACTAAAAAAAAGTAACCGTTGGTTCATGTTGACACAGCTAGTTTTAGAAGCGACGCTTGAAAGTCAGGTCTTCTTGCCTCCAAATCTAGCAAACTGTCCACTGCGCCATGTTTGCCGTTTACTTTAACCAATCACTTAGATTAATATGCTTTCAATGAGACAAACAGAATTATGTGGGAGGGGGGCAAGAGGTGGGAACGACTGTGTTCCTATCTCCCATTGCTCTCTGTTCTGCTCACTTTGTCATGTGTTTCTACGATAGCCCTGGGAAAGGGGGATGTGATGAATCAGAGAATGTTAGAAATGGGAGAAGGGATGTGCTGGAGCCAGCTTGTATCAGCTCAAGAGAGCTGATTGTTAAACTTTCAATATGAGCATGTACACTTCAGAAATCGGCAAAGGATTTATTATTTTGTTGATTGTCTGGAGTTAAGAAAGTGATGGAGAAAATGTTAAAAAGGCAGATTAAATTTTAAAATGTGTTGGGGGTAAAATTGGGGGTCAGTGATAGTCCTAAAAAATAAAAGAAAGTATCCATTTAAAAGTTTCATTTTAAAAAACACAGAAGATAGCAGAAGGAAGTTCAGAAGCAGATACAGACAAACAGGGGAGTATTGGTGCTATATGGCTGAATAGCATACGTACTTTAAAAAAGAGAAGCTGCATATAGTTAAGATTCACTGTTTCATTTATACCTTTTTTTCTGTTCTTTAGATATGGAAATGTTTGTATTTGTTGCTGCTTGTTAATGTCATAATAAAAAAAAGAAAACTTAGACCCCCCTGAGCTTGGACAGATCGAATTACGTGAGCTGCCATTGTCCAGAAAGGTGTTAAATGAGGGTCACCTTTATGTTCTGGTTTTGGTAAAATGTAAAGGGCTCATGTTGTCATAGGTGACCTAGTCCTCTTTTTCAGGTAACTGGAAAAGTATACTAACATTGGAAGAGATGGTTTTCCAAAAACTGAGATAAAGCAAACAGACTCACCCACCAGAATGTCTCTGCCTGTACTTCAAGGAGGAATGAAGGAATGAAGGGGGTGGGCAGTGAGTATAGACCAGCAAGAACCTCAGTTCTGGTCCCAGAAGAATCAAAAAATTGCAGGCTGTTTTGTTACCTGGTTCTGGACAATTTAAGCTCAGTGCAATAACTTTTTTAAAAAAATGAAGCAGTAAGTGAAAAATTCTGTCCTTAAGGCTTGTGTACTACTATGATCATCATTAATAGTTGATATTTATATAGCTTAAGGTTGGCAAAGTGATTTGCATGACACAGTTAAGTACGCTTACTCGTTTGGGATTCACAAGCCTGTGGGGTACCTATTACTTTATTTTGCAGATGAGAAAACTGAGGCTCAGAGAGATCATGACATACCTATGGTCACAGTTACTTGAACCCAGGCTTTTCCAACTCCAGCTTCAGTACTCTAATCAGCATGTCAAGCAAAGCCTCAGTTGAAAGAGCACTGAACTGATGGAACTGTTAGGCATGAAACTTGGGATCTTGCCCTGGTTCTTCCACGAACTGTGTGTGAAAGGTTGAGATGTTCACCTTAGGCAAGTCACTGCAGCTTATGGAACCTCAGTTTCTTTATCAGTAAGATGTGTGTTGCACTCAATCTTCTCTGAGGTGTCTCCTCAGAGGTCTCTGTGATTGCTTTAAAATCTGTTCTTATGACTCTATAGAAGGAGTGAGGCTAGCTAGTACCCTAAGAGAGGGACCCAGTGAAGGAAGGGTAAAACAATTCCTAGAAGAATTGTTCTCTGAGAAATCAATAGTTTCTTCCAAACACTTTCCTCCAGCAGCAAGTATATGCATACTGATTATGCATCAACTGATTAAGCCTGGCCTTGCCTTTGGCACTTAGCTGGCTTCCCTCTGCTTCAAATTAAGTAAGTTCAATATTGATAAGAAATGTTTATGCTGCCACTTGGGTTGATCATATCTTGTTTTTCCTTTATTGCCTCAGTCCAAGCTGGTAAATGTTCAGCAGTAAATAGCCGCAGTGGTTAGTCTAACCCAGACTCTATCACCTCTGGGACATCCCTTTAGTCATTACCCTTTAGCCAACTGCCACCTTGTGGTGATGGAGCAGATTTTAAAATGCTTTATTTGAAACAAACCATAGCTGGGTATATAAACAAAAGATACTTTCCTTCTATGGCTGTACCAGCTCAGTGAGAGAAGAAAAAGGGGCCAGTGTATTATGTTCCAGTTTTCTATATCATCATCCTTCCCTCTTTCTTTAAAGTAACACTGATGCCTCTTGTTTTTCCCACCACGGACATTTTCTAATATCCCTCTCAAGGTAAAGAGAACGTTCCCTTGTCACAAAGAAAAAGTTAAGTAATACCAACCAACATAATCACTGTCTCAGACAAAATACGCAACATTAAACACCCATGGTTCCCCATCTCTCTACCTAGAGAAGGGAGATAATATCTGATCATCTATACTGTGGGAGAAATATTGGTCACTGCCTTTTAGGCTGAATCCAGTGCTCATTTAATGTTTATCACATGCACCTTATTAGTTTGTTCTGCCACTCCCCATTAAACGGATACCCATTTTCATTCATCCATTTTGTTTTTACTACAATGCTCTTAAATTTGTCATATGTGGGACCTTGTGTTACAATTTTGACCCCCTTAGGGTACATAGCCTTTAACGGGATAGTTGGGTTAAAGGGTGTTGTTTTTCTAGCATTGTTCCAAACTGTTTTCCAGAATTATTAGACTAATCTACAGCCTCTCCAATACTGTATCCGTTTTTGGTGAGGGCAATTGGGCTTAAGTGACTTGTCCAGGATCACACAGCTGGAGAGTGTTATGTCGGACGCCGGATTTGAACTCAGGTCCTCCTGACTACACAGCCAGTGTTCTATCCCTGCGCTACCTAGTTGCCCCAACTGTATCCATCTTTTAAGAATTTCTTTTTGGCCATCTCATGTATAAAACGTCAAGCTTTCTCTTTTCTGTCGTTAGGAAAGACAAACGTCCATTTTCTACAGGACACCATGAAGTGAAGGCTTCATTTCCCCATCACTCCTACTGGGTGGTTATAAACTTCAACACTGACTAGCTGTGTGATCTTAGGCAAGTCAACTTTCCCGGGTCTGTTTTCTCATGTATAAAATGAGGAAGTTGGGCTGCACAATCTCTGTGTTGTTGTTCAGTCGTTTTCAGCTGTGTCCAACTCTTCGTGACCCCATTTGGGGTTTTCCTTGGTGAAGATGTTGAAGCGTTTTGCCATTTCCTTCTCCAGCTCATTTTACAGATGAGGAACTGAGGCAAGCAGGGTTAAACGACTTGCCCAAGGTCACCGAGCTAGTAAGTACCTGAGGCCAAGTCTTCTTGACTCCAGGCCTGGTACTCTATCTACTGTGCCACCTAGCTGCCTAGATAATCTCTCAGGTCTATCAATTCATATTAGAGCTAGATGAGACTTAAGAGTTTACCTTGTGCAATTCCCCTACTTAGAGATGAGGAAACTGAGGTCTAGAAAGGCTGAGGGACTCGCCTTCACCAAAAGAAGACTCCAGATCACAGTTAGCCCACTCTGGTAAAGCTAGGAACTAAATCCATGTCTCCTGTCTCCTAGTTCTAGTGTTCTGTCTGCACCCTTGCATGCCCACTCTAGAATTTTGACCCTGATCCTGCAGTTATGTCCCTGAAAAGCAGAGAATTGTTTTCCTAGTTTGTTTCTTGGTGAGGAGAGAAAAAAAACACCCCCAGTTTTAGGTACATCTGTCATTTGACTAGTAGCTTGGTTGTTGTTGAGTTATGTTTGAATCTTCATAACCTCACTTTAGGGAGCTTTCTTGGCAAAGATACTGGAGTCCTTTGCCATTTCCTTCAATTCATTTTACAGATGAGAAAACGGAGACAAACAAGGTTAAGTGACTTGCCCAGGGTCACACAGCTAGTGTCTGAAGGCAGATCTGAATTCAGGTCTTCCTGATTCCAGGTCTGGTACTCTATCCACTGTGTCACCCAGCTGCCCTTACTAGTGTCTTTACACTTTCTAACAGTGCTCTGAATGTGCACAGGAGACCGGAAATCGCCATAGCAAATCCTCTGGCTATTCTGGCTCATGGGTGATCAGATGGGCAACTCAATGACAAACTTTCAGGTTTCTTAAAACGTCTGGGAGCAGGGATGCAGGGGTTTCAGCAGAACAAAAAGGAAATAGGTTGATGATGCCAGTAAGCTACTACTTGTTGAACTTAGAGGGCGGCTGCCATAGCTTAAAGCTGACAAATGCTGGTTCAAATGTATTTGGTCAAAAGTAGGGGGTGGGAAAGCTGTACCAAGAGGAAGATCAAGATAATGTGTTTGGCAAAGAACAGGTAACAAGCAGCAACAGTGACACTACCGTAAACTACATGGTTTTCCTAACCTCAGGCAGGTGTTCGTGACCAGTATGGGATTTCTCCCCATGACAAAGATTTGCCAAAAATCAGCAGAAACCAAACAGCCAGTGTGTGATTAAAATCATATTTATTGCAGTTTCCAGACTTCATGTACAGTACTTGTAACTACATCACAACATTGCAGATTCACATTAAGGTTCTTAGCAGCAATTTGTCCCTAAAGAGTAACTGTCTGGGTGAACCTGACAGTTAGAAGCAATTTACAAAATAGATTCCAACTCATGGTTTTTCCCACTTTAGCTGGTATCTGAATAGTGCAAATAGAAATGCCTATGTTCACCCCAGTTTAGCTTTTTCTAGAAAAAGAGTAATAAGTCAGGGTGTAGATAAATATCCACAGAACCCCTGGGGGATAAGATACCAATGAGAAGGGTTCTTGAGATAGGTCTAAGAGGTAAATAACCTACTTTTCCCAACATCATCTGTTTGCTTTACTGTCATGACAACTAGATAATGGGTCCTAGCCCAGGGGGTGCCTCTGGGACTAGAACACTTGAGAATCAGGCAGCCAGTCCTACCTCAAATAATGCCCTTTTAAAAAGTTAAATATTTTCCCCAGATATAACAAGATGATAACACTAGCCATAGTTGCATGTTGTTCCAAAGCTATGAAAATCAAAAGCAAGTGCAAAAGTAATGGGACTGACTTTCATATCTTTCCTGAGAGACAATTCCCATCTTTTCAGAAGGGATTAAAAAAAAAAAAGCCAACCATAAGCTGATCAAATTATTCTTCAACCTAAGTGACAGACTGCAAGTCTCTGGTATACTTATTTTTCTCCCCTAGATCTCCTGAAACATCTTAAGCTGTTTTTTGACATGAATCTTTTCTATTAGCTGAAAAAAAGAGTCCTTCCAAACATGTTCAAAAAGACTCGAGCATAAAGAGCGAAGGAGTCTTAATCCTCCTTCTCCTTCTGTGCCCCTGGAACTCTGACCAGAACCCTCCAGTCTTACTGTCCAGTAATCAAATCAATTTGCCAGAAAAAAAAAAAGTTAGCCAGCTTTTCCAACATGAGCTAGATAGGTCAGGCTTTCCTTGCTTGGAACCACTGAAGAAATCCTTCTGGAAATCACTCTACCACAGTCACTTCTTGAACAAACACTTACTGAGTGCTGACTACGTACATGGTTGTGAGACACAGAGACTTAAGGCCAAATAAATGATTAAAGCCTTACTGTTTAAAAGGATTCCATTGAACTTTGTACCTGACCTACTATGAAATGACAAATTCCAAAGATTATGTATTTAGAGGTCATTATTACTCCTGTATCAACAGCTGTATCATGATAGAATTTGCCTTAAAAAAGGGGGGAGGGGTTGGGGGTAGCACCAGTGAATGGCTGAATGTCTTTGGATGCCTTCTTTCCTAAGTGGCAAACATTTAGGTGAATCTGACTTGTGGAAAAAATTTACAAAATACAGCCCAATGTATGATTTTCCATTGACAACTAGTATTAACAGTAGCTCAAAGAAATATCAATATTCACAATACACTTCGCCTTTTCTAGAAAGATAGGAATAGGCCAAAATCAACTAGCCCATGTAGATTCTGCACAGTTCTGTCTAGATAGGGGAGAATAGAGGAGCTCACTTGGGTTTGCCTGACTTTTCATGGCAACAATTTCTGCACAAGAAGGTCTCAATTAGTGCAAACAATGAATCCCCTGATGGGGCTGAATGTATTTGAATTTGCAATATTTGAAGTTATAACTATTTAAAATAATAGTTCCAGCCCAATAGAAATAGAGAATGCAAATTTGAATGTGATGACCCTTTTAGCTGGGCTCATTTGCATTAAATGAGACCCGGTTACGCTTCTAGCTTACAGTTTTGTGAATTTATTGTTCTGATTTGATGCACACAATCCGTGCAGAAAAGTGTTCAAAGTCTTAAGTTATACACACTGCAAACCCTGGCCAGCCAGACCGCACTTTTGTCCAAAAGGCAGAAAGGGTCAAAAAGGTCCAGATAATTCAGCAGCAATCTGTCCCTACTACTGGAAAAATAATATAAAGTGCATATCTTTTTAATGGTGGGTGAGTTTGTAGTAACAACTCTGTATGCACAGGATGGCTCCTGAAATTAATTTGGTAAACACATGAAGCTACCTATTTCCTTTCCTACCGACTCTAATAATCAATAACAGACTTCAGCTAATCCAAAGAAGTTTCAGCTCTTAAAACGTTTAAATGACGTATTACACATAATGGTCATTTTGCCAACATAACATGATACTGTCTATCTCAACCAGGTAGACTCCATACAGGCTATATTGTTTTAGGGTCTTTTTATTAGTTGAACCAGGCTGGATGCTTCTAAGAATCTTATTTTTCCCTTCCTTACCTTTTCCCTCACTCTGATGGTTATGACTTTAGCTACATTTATTGCAACCAATGTGAGTTTTCAAAGATTATATCTTTGAGCAACAGATGAATGCGTAAGGAGTGATTTTTCCCTTTCGAAATATTTCTTTAGGAATAAAGAAATAGTATTGTTTTTCTTTTCCAAGCGGCATAGATGAGCTATTTTAAAAAGACTGTTCTATTAAGTTTTCAACACAATACCATCTTGTAATTTATTTTTACTGTCTAGACAGTAATCATTGCAGAATTAACACTGAAGCCGCAGCCAAAAGACAGTCCTGATGTATAAGATCAAGTATGGTGAATCATACACAACTCATAAAAAGCATTTGGATGAACAAGGTTCTGAAACCGGATGGAAAAATGGTGAGCTCCTGTACGCTTTAGATGCAACCATGAAATTATCTGCCATTTTTTAAAAATTAGGCTAGGTCTAATGGAAACCAGTCGGCATAACTAGTGAAAATTAAACATGTTTTTCCTAAGTCCCTTTGTTATTTTCCTAGGATATGTTTTTCTGGGAAAGTGAGCATTCACTATAGTTTTTAGCCTGGAGGAAGAGGCGGAAAGAGCTAAAATGGCGATACTGTTAGTTGGGGCTGATGCCCATGGTGCCACATATACCCTCCCCAATAAAATTTCTGAAGACTTTCCTCTGTAGGAAAAATGTTTTAAGTATCACAAAACTGAATCCATTAATTTTTGTAAGTTTCAAAGGGGAATTTTCTAACTCTAGCATCTAAAATAGGTTCTAGAAGTAGTTTTTTAAAAATTATTTTAAAATTAAAGTAAAAAGCTCCCCATGATTTTCCTTTTGAAGTTGAGGCACTTTTAGGGACTTGTTCTTTTGTTGGCACTATAACCCCCTAGAATAGTCCAGGGCAGATTCTTTGTAAATACCAAAGGAAAAGACAAAGAACAGGGAGGGATAAGGAGCTAGTGATTCCCAAATTGGTAACGTCTTCACATTGGTGGTATTTTTCCTAAGGAATACAATCCTTAGAAGTTGAGAATGGAACACAGACCTTCCTAGAAAATGGTTCCTAAGAACCTGATCGTCTTTTGGTTTTAAAATTATGGGAAGATCACATATATCCCTAATGACAAATAATGACTAACTTATATAGCACCTGCCTTGACCACAAGATGATGAAACCTTAAAAATCTACTAGGGAAGAGTTAGTAAAACCATGCCTGGCACTTAAATAACACACTTTGTCTTCAAAATGCTTTTCAGGTTCTTCCCGATACCCCTGTGAGGTAGTTGTCTTATCTCCCCATTTGACTGATGGGGAAAACTGAGGCAGCAAGGGGTTACACTGACTTACCTATGGTCACAAGATGAAAAAGCAGCAGGACCCAAGTCAGCTTTCTATACCTGTGCTCCCCCTCTTTCTCTAAGGGTTTCTGCCACAAGTTACGCAGCACTTTTTCTTCCATATACTTGAGCAACTAACCACACAGTGAGCTTATTCTCATTCTGCACAAAAATTAACTCTTGCTGTAGGAAAAAAGAAAAAAAAAAAAAAGAAAACAGTCAACCCCAAAATAGTCAGGCATTGCCTAACAGTCTGTTTCAGGATGTAGCCTTTTCTGCACTGGCTGAGTTAAAGAGCAAAGAATCATCACAAGAGAAGCACAACAGGTTTGCTGGAAGCCACATTTCCACGGTGTTCTTGCTGCGCGTACCGTATTTTGGGCTGCCATGTCCCTCTGACATGAACGCTGCCTGTCATCATGGCTTGCGAAAGCCTCTCTGGCGTGAATCGAGGGGGGAAAACCTCCCCATTTCACATTAGAACCAAACTAAAAAGCACCCTTTGTCCCCCACTCCAGCAGAGGGAGCCGCAGCAGGTAAGGTGTGTATGTTACTTAAGCTAAATAAGCATAGCAATTTCCATGGCACCACAAATGCCACACAGCTCACAACAACTCACACTGCACTAGACGCCGTGCCGCACCAGCTCGTGCACCAACAGCATGCCACACGAGTCAGAGACAGGAAAAGGACAAGAAGACAGGACACAATTCTCATCTGGTCTGCCATATGCAGCAACGAACTCCATCAGGACAGTAAACCAATTAATCAAGCTACTGAATTCACAATGACAACAGGGACAACTGCGGGGTGTTTCCTGCTGGCTGTTTATAACACACCACTTGTATATATCCCACCCTAATATACGTTGGTGGGTTCCGTGGATGTTAAGAATGCTCAATAAAACTCATAAATTCTAGTCCCTGATCAGGAGAAAGTCCAGAAAGGTGAACAGTGTAACGTAAAATGCAGCAGTCAGTGCAGGGATGGCAACCCAATTCATACCACTATCTCTTAAAAAGAAATGCCATGAGCATTCCCCACAGATACCACACCATTGTAAGAATGGATTCCCTTTTCATGCTGTGGTATCTGTGGGGAATTATAGACACATCATGACCCTAGTGGAGTAAAAAAAGGCCATGATTTTTCTAGTTTATCTCAAGTATTGATAGTAACACATGAAACCACATCTAATTTATATCTATATATAAATGAATAGATCTATATTTTATAATGATGCCTTCTGCCTCTGAACAGCCACCCACTCTAAAAAGGGTCTGTCTTCTTCACGTGGTAGCATGCTGTCCCCATTTTTGTGGACAAACAGATATACCACAGGGTCCTAGACTCAGTTCCTTTCCCTCTCCATCCAAGATCAGAGGGAATCATTCCAAATCAGCTTTTCACTGAGATGCTAAGAAGCACAGTGCAAATACAATTCATGCGGTTTATTTCTAAAAATAAAATACTCCAAGCTCAGATGATCACTGGGCAAGGTGGACAAGTAGAACATTCTCTCCTCGGATAAATATCTGGTTAATGTGCCGTGTGAATACCTGTTGGTAATCCACTTTGGGCTTCTGCCTTTTCTTACGAGACCGGCCCCTTGAATTAGAACCCCCTGCACTAGAGCCCTCTGTCCGTGTAGTCCTGCCTGACAGGTCAGACCTGGAAACTTCCTTTCCAGCTGCCAGAAGCGAAGAAGGTGCTGAACGGGAACGTTTCTGTGATCCCCGATCCTCATCATCTCTCCCCCACACCGTGGCCATCTTCCAAGTAGATGTCTGTGAATATCGAGACAACGTGGAGTCCTCAACCATCGACCTGGAGTCAGTTTCCTTTTTGGAGGAATCCTGAAGTTTGAGCCGATCAAACAGCTACAAGGAAACAAGTCAAACGTTATCTGCTCTCTTGACATTCTATATCCCCCTTTAAAAACATGCATTCCTATCACTTTAAGGGCTGTGGCTTTACCTTTCTGAATCAGTCAACACCAATTTCTCCTATTCTAACCAGCAGTTAAGTCAATAAAGAGACAATAAAGATAAAAGTCACCTGCCATATTATGTGACATTATGTTATAATGACAAACAGGTTTATTTTTATATTGAACTAAAAGACCTTTCATCTTCAGGTGATGCAACTTGTTACACAGGTCACATATAGATCAGACTTAAATGGGGTGTATGGTAGAGAATAATCAAGATTCTACCACCATCATATCTTGTTTCCAGCAACTAAGGCTTTCATTAATTGGAAATATGGAGAATAGTGACACCAGTCCCTACACACCTTATCTCTGTCCTCCACCTTCCTCCCCCCACCCCATCCCAATACCTTATTTCCTAATATTGAAAGCATACTGGGTTGCTGGTAAGTAGGAGAAAACTTCTTACCCTGGTAAGAGTTAAAGGAGGCTCACGTTCAAATGCTTTGCCCAGAACTGGTTTTCTGTAAGTCTCGTCCACATCAGTAAGTGCCTTTGAAGAAAACAAAAAGAGAAAAATTGAAAGTGTTGTCAAAAATCATAGCAGATTCAATGCTTTCAAAAATAGCACTGTCATCACTGGGCAGCCACAACCATTAGCTATCTTGGTTCACAAGAAGAAGAAAATTAGTAGCACTGGTAACAAAAAACTAAAAGCAATCTTCATACTATTTCCAAATCACCTATGGTCAAAACTCAAAAAAAGCCTCAAAAGCTTACCTCTACTTGTGATCCTTATTCATTTCCCCCCCTGAAAATCCTCTGGCAACACCAAAATGTGACTCCTGGATTTCTCTCATTTCCATTTTGGGGGCCATTTCAAATACTCTCTAGGTTCCTTCCTCTTCTCTGCAATCTACATTAGTAACTAATAGGAAATGACTCATGTTACACACAAGCCATTAATGACTCCCTAGTCAATCAGATTTCATGACATCACTACTATCATGTATTCGTTATCACCTACCACCTTCCCTTTGATGGTATTTAAGAATAAGACATCACTTGTCAAATGTGTTTAGGAAAACGTATGTGGGGTGTGTTAAAGTGCACTGAATAACTTGGAAAAGTTGTAGGAGGAAGATAGCCACAACTGCTGGAGAAGAAACTCCAGAACGATGACACCTATATTTTACCTTGTGTTATAATTATTTGTGTACATGTCTTCTCTCCATTACTAGATTGTAAGTCCTGGAGGGCAGGTTCTTTGTCTTATATATCTTTGTGCCCCCCCTACAGTGTCCAGCACAGGGCTTTGCATATAATAGACGCTCAAAGAATCCCTGTTGAATGAATGGATGAGAGGACTGGATTTGGGGGTAAAGGAAGCAAGTGGAGCACACATCTTATGCCTGTTCCAGCAGAGCTCAAGGACACCAGCTTGTCTCCAACACAATTATCAGTACAGTCGTTATTCTAAAAAGGTTATATTGATTCCCTAATCAAATAAAGGGGTTAATTCCTATGAGATTTTTTCCCAGTCCCATAAAAAGAACTAATTACCATATTCCAGAACTTGTCAAATGCAACCAGGAAGCCAGAGCAGACGCCTCGAAGCCCCTTGAAAGTGCGAATGTGAACATTGACCTTCACCCCCTCTCGGATGCAGCGATGAAGTTCACCCAGTGGGCTGCCCTCATGCACTGGAATAAAAAGAGAACAACAGTCAGGGTAGCACAAGAATGTCTATGCCAAAAGTCATCGAGACAGAGCTCCTCACTAGAATGATCTACTGAATAAAATCCAATATATTTTCCATTTTCAATCTACCTTTGTAGCATAAAAACTTAGTTTTATGTATATCATGGTCTAGTAAAACTGGACCACTCCCTTTTCCATGAATATGCTCCATATATCACACTCTATTCTTCACAATGCAGCTCTGCCCAACCCTTCCCAACCCTCCCCTCCTCCTTCAACCACACAGGAGGAGGAACAACAGGCTTGGGGAGACACTCATCTAGGCAAGCTGGTGGAAGTAACTAAAGCCCTACTACACTCTTGGCCCTTGCCCAGCAACAACCCCCTGTCAAGATTGTGAGCATCATTATTCATCTGCCACCCACTAGTACCACTACAGCTAATAATCTGCCACTTTTTCCTCTCCCTATCCCTAGATTACTCAACTACCCACCACACAGGAACAAACTGTTCTCAATCTCCACCTCCCATTCTTATTCCCCATCCTCCTTAACCTCACTCTGCTCATCTCCTACCTCAACCCTGTCCACCGATTCCACTGTGCCCTCTGGAATTCCTATTCCATAGTGAACAAACTTCCTTTCATTCTGGACCTCTTCCTACTATTCTCCTATCTATTGACCTCATTAAGAAAGAGCTTCTCGGACAGCTAGGTGGTGCAGTGGATAGAGCACTGGCCCTGAAGTCAGGAGGACCTGAGTTCAAATCTGGCCTCAGACCAAATACTTGACACTTACTAGCTGTGTGACCCTGGGCAAGTCACTTAATCCTAACTACCTTTAAAAAAAAAAAGAGCTTCTCCCAGATGACTGCACCTGTGATTATTCTCTCCATCAGTACTCTAAACTGTGACACCCTGAAGGGAAATCAGAATACTCAATGCTCCCCCACTGTCTAGACTCTCCTGTTACTGATGTCACTCTACAACTTCTCCGCTTTTTAAATCACTCAGTTAAAAGTTTTCCACCTCACCCAGAAAATTCATAGTAGCTGGCCTCCAGGCCATTCTATCTCTTTTTAAAAGTAGGTCAGTATTTGGGCTCACCTTCTTCCATATCACTGCAAGTCCTAACCTTAAAGTTGGAGATTTCAAATACCCACACTGATCCTCCTCCAAATTACCCGACTTTCCAATTTTTTGGTCTCTTTCAAGACATATTCCTTAATTTTACCTAAGTAACACACAGGGATGGTTAGACCCTGGCTTTCACCATTACCTACACCTGTTCCACTTCTTTATTCAAAAACTCTGACATTCTTTGTCTCTTTCTCCTAGCATCCCATCTCTTCCTATGTCTCATCTCTCTTATGTCTACTCTTCACTTTGATTGGAACTTGCAATTCCCCTACCTTTCAATACATTTTTAGGCTATTACCTCTACTCTGGCTTCATGTTCTTCTTTTTCCAATCTTAGCTCCCTAAGTTCAGCAAACCAACTCCACACTGTGCTCCACTTCTACTAAGCCTACTTTGCCAAATCTCACACTTACACTCCTCCTTTTTTCCTCCTCTATTCCTATTCACATAATGCTGAAGGGAGCAAGAGGGAGTCACACAACAAGGCCAGCTGGATGCATGATACATTCCTTGTTATCCAACTTCAACTTTCCTTCGTCCCCGCAACAAAGCACCTTTTGTTCTTTCTTCTCCCCTTCTGTTCATCTCAAAACCTTTTGATACCATCTCCCACTCTTCCTCCTTTTTCTTAGTCTCTGACAAAGAGGTGGACCTTCTCTGTGCCAGGGCCAACCCTTCTATGTTCCCTTGATCACATCTCTTCCCATTTTGTTCCAGCAGATGGCGACCTTAACTACCAACCTCTTAATTTTCAACCTGCCTTATACACTGGTTCCTTCCCTACCATCTTCAAATATGTCCAAGTCTCTCTTCTAATGAAGTTAAAAAACAAAACAAAAAAACAAAAACCTTCACTAGAAACTACCATTTTCTCAAGCTATTGTTCCATATCTCCTTTCCATTTCTCAGCTAAAGTCCTACTAAAAAGAAAATGTCCATACTCACGGCCTCCACTTTCTCCCTTCTCCTCACTCCCTAACCCTTTGTAATCTGGGTACTGACCTCATCACTCTGCTAAAACTGTTCTTTCCAAAGTTGCCAGCAATGTCTTAATCAACAAATCTGATGGTTTTTTTCTCAGGCTTCTCAACCTACCTGCTGCATTTTATATTGTTGACCACTCTCTCTTAACAGAAGTTTTCTCCTCTCTCAGCCTTTGTGACACTACTTTCTTGGTTTTCACCTGACATGTCTAACTGTTCCTTCTCAGTCTCCTCTGTAGTTTCATTATTGATGTTCGGCCTTTAAATCTGGGTGTAGCCCAAGAGTCCTGGACTCTTTTCACTCTCTCTACACTCTTTTGGTGACCTCATCAGTTCCCACAGGTTTATCAGCACCTCTATGGAGATGACTATATCTTCATATCCAACCCTAGTTCTCTCCCCTAAGCATCAGTCCTGAATTGTCAATTAATTTACTGGGCATTTCAAACTGGATGTCCCACAAAAAAATCTCAAAACTCAACATGTCTAAAACAGAATTTACCATCTTTTCCCCAAAATGCACTTTTTTTCAAACATCCCTATTTCTGTTGAAGGCATCACCATTCTTCAGTTTTCCAAGTCCATGACCTTGGTATTACCTTCAGCTTCTCACTCCCCCTCAGCTAATTTTGGCATATCAATATGTTGACAAATCTTGCATTTCTTCCTCCACAATATCTCTTGAATTTAGCACCTTTCCTCTACTCACACAGCCACCTTAATTCAAGTCTTCATCAACTCTTGCCTAAGTATGCAATAGCATCCTAAATGGTTTTCTTGCCTGAAGTCTCACCTCATTCCAGTTCATCTTAGGCACTATTGCCAAACTGATTTTCCTTAAACACAGATCTAACCAAGTCACTCCATGCTCAATAAACTCCACTGGCTCACTTCTGCCTATAGGATAAAACGTCAACTCCTTTGGTTAAGTTTTTAAAGACTTTAACAACCTGGCTACAATCTCTCCTTGGCTGCGATCCAGCTAAACAGACCTTTATGTTCTTCAAACATGACATTCCATTTCTCATCTTCACGCTTTTGCACTGAAAATGCCAGGAATGTAGTTCTTCCTCACTTCCAAATAAAAGAATCCTTCTCTTTCTTCAAGACAAAGTTCTAGCACCACTTGCATGAAGCCTTTCTTCATCCTCTCCTCAACTGCCAGTGCCTTTCCTCCCCAGTTACCTCATATTTCTCTAATATTTCCTCCCTATCTCATCAGCTGGAATCCTACCCACCCTTGAAGAATGCTCTCTGAGCAATCCCAATCTAAAAGGGTCTTTCTCTCATCAAAAGCCTAATGGCACTAGGACTGTACTTGCTTATGCACTTACCATGCTCTCTTTTGCATATGGTTGTGTAGATAGCTTATTCCCCTAATCTACAGTAAACTCCTTAAGGGTAGAGTGTTGGTCTCTTCTATCTCTCAGAGTCCAGCAGAGCGCCCCACACACAAGAGGCATTTAATAAGTGGATGACGAATGAATTTTAAGCTCTGCCCAATCCCAGAAAAGAACAGTTTATGTTGTGACGTCTCATTGTTGCATTCCCCACACAAAGCAAAATGGCAAGTCCCCAAAATAACATAGCTGAACCACGTATGTATGAATGTATGTATGTACACACATATATAGATATGTAGATGTACATACATCATAATATACGTGATCTGCATCATCCACTAGGAAGAAGATTTTATTCCTACATTGGCTCATTCTATTAGTTATCACATCAAATCTAAACAGTCCGGTCTTCAAAGCCTTCTAACAAAAGATTCAGTCCCATTCACCTGAATATTTCCCATTCCCTTTGGCAAACTTTCTACTCAAGTCAATTTAATCTGTTTCCCACATAATCTGTTATATATAACTGTTCTTCTTAACTCTGTGCTGTAAGATACTGCTTTTAAGTAGGTTCTTCTTGAACTCCATTTCTATCTTGATTTATAAAAAGAACTCAACATGCACATGTTTAGAGGAATGAAAAACTTAATAATTTGCTCTAAATACCCATAATACTAAGACATCTACAAACAATGTCTGTATACAAGAGACAGGTCTACTGTACGTCTGGACTCCCTTCAATGAAAAACATTTCACTACACATTGTCTTCGTATCAGGAGAAATATTGGTTGTAACCAAGCTATGATGGTATAAAAGGCACATGCCATGCATCTGGATTCTATAAGACTGCAAATAGGTGTCATGTAAAAGTAACATTATGATTCAGGAGGAATTTGGGGACTATGAACTTCAGCTTTTACTGTTCAACTCAATGAGGGAGCCTTTTCTAAGTGCTTAGGGACAGTGTTGAATTTTATAAAAACTGTTATTATTTAATTTTAAGTACTCACAGTCTGCTAGCTGTACCAAAGATATACAAGGCAGAATCATTTAGAATGTACATGCCAAAGGCCTTTTCTGTTGACGTCTTACTCTCTGTTGTTGTTATAAAGAAAAATATTAGTCTCTGCTCTTGTTTAAATTTCTGGGTTCCTGTTTCTCCCTACTCTACTTATGGCTTGGTGTAGTCTAGACATGGATTAGTATTGGAAATTACTTTTTGAGGAAGTGGAGGAAAGAGGCTTGGTAGATGTGACATGGGAGGTTACTCCACCTTGAAAAGTCAACAGGAGAGAAAGTTTGGCACAAGTTCACTTCCAGCTCTAAGATTCTATGATTCTAAATAGGGACACTTATGGGAAATGTCTGAACCTTGCTTTAGTCTACCATCTCTCCCATAACATTATTTCTAATGATATGTAATAGTATTTAAAAAAGAATTGGAAGAGACTTCTGACTTTAAAATTCTACTTCACCCACACATTTTCAAATACACATGAGTCAAAAAGGTGAGTTTTAATTTTTGTAAGCATTATGAACTTGTAATATTGGCATTATTATATATTATTACTACTATATATATACACACACATGTATTTATATATGCACATATGTACATACATGTTTATATGTGTACACACACATACATGTGTGTGTATATACCTGCTAGAAAAACCTCTTTCTAACAATGTTAGCATCATCTTACTCTCCTGCTTTAAAATCTAGGGTGGGTCCCTACTTTTAGCAGAGCAGATCTATGCTTCAGTCTGGCCTATGAGATCCTCTACCAAAACAACCTTCTGCCTCCTACTCCTTATCTCAGAGTTCATTTCTCTTTGTGATAAATACCAGGTATCTTCTCCACCAGAGCAAATCTGCTTGTCAACCTTTGTACACGACTTGTTCATCTGCACCTTTATATATCTGCACATACCTTTCCACTTCTCTTTTCCAACCTCTGTCCTTTCCTTCCTTCACAGCCTAGAGTTCACTTCCTTTAGGGAACTATTGCCAGCCTAATGATTCTTATTTGGTGTTCATGTGCTCATTCTGCTCTAGGCATTATCACTGAAGTTCCTGCTTTGTGAATGCTAATAATTCTTTTTAAGCACATGTGTCATACATACCTATTTCCAGTGATAATGAGAGATTCTGTTTCCAGTACAAGTTTTCCAAGCACTCCAGGCATGATTTGGGGTGTGGGAGAGTTGACCCTGCAGTTTTTATCAATTCAAAGGACCTCAGAGCACTGCTTCCTAGAACTAATTGTTCCAAGAATGTTCTATGGTCTCACCAATGTTGCATCTTGGCAATAGTGCAACACAACTATGAAGATACTGGCCTTCTAATTAGTGTTACAATCTAAGACCTAGCTAGACCAGTCTAATTCACAGAGGAGATATAAGCCCTTATTGTTCTCATTTAGGAACAACTTATAGATATGCTATAGACAGGCAACATGAGCTGTAAATTCATGGAAGGAATCCTACGGCTCCATAAATCATTTACCTTATTACAGCTCTATATCTTGTCAGCGGAGATGTTCTTTTTCAATAAACAAGTCACTAAGAGAAACCTAAACATCACTCATTTAACACACTGGCTCATTTAAGAGGCATATTATAACAATTAAGCTATCGGGATACAGATGCTTTGAATGGTTAAGTAGGTCATTGTGTTCACTGGGCAGATGTCAGAACTGCCTGCCATATGACAAAGGTATAAGCCTGGCTTTGTTTATTACATTTATACAAGCCCCAAACTGCACATTCTAGCAATCTCTGTCTCCTACAATTGTCCTATCAGAATTATTAAGAGGTTCCCAGAAATTCCCTCATGCTATCTGAATCTCTGGAATTTAAAGAAACCCATAATTACAGTAATATGAATCTACACACACAGTTCATGCACCCAGAAGACAAAGTGTCTTCTCAGTGGCAGCCACTGCATGCCAAATTTCAGATCTTTTGATTAAACAGTGTATGTTTAAAGATTCTGGAGTCTACAGAAGACTCCTTACATCATCAGAGGGAAAGCTGGAAGAAAAGAGAGAGACTAAGACACTGCTAAGAGTAGGTGTTCTTTATGCTATCCACAAACCCCACCATAAAGACACTTAGCTGCAACTGCTGGCCCAGCTGACCTTCCAATCAACTATGTATGGCTCTTCCTCAAACCAGATCAAACAAAAACATTTCCTCAAATCAGCCAGGTACTCATTTCAAATCAACCACCAGACTATCCCCCACATCGGCCATGTCTTAGACCCTCCCCACATCACCTCATATCAGCCATGCAGACTCTCCCTAAATTCTCCTATAGCAGCAAGGAATATCCTCCCCATATCAGCGGCAAAGACCTTGTACAAATCTGCGTATGAACCACACCGACCCCCCCCCCAGTACCTCTCATATTAGCCATGCAGACCTTTCTCCCTATCAGTCATGCAGACCCCTCCCATTCCCAATATCAGGCACCAGACTCTTCCTAAAATTCCCCATTTCATCGGTACAGACACTTCCCGCATTTCCCTATCTCATGGGATCACAGGATTATAGGATCATAGATCTGGAACTGGAAGGGACCTCAGAGGCCATCAGACACATCTTCCTATTATTAGTCATGCAGACCCTCTCCGCAGATCCCCCATAACAAACATGCAAACCCTCTTTAAAACTTCTCTATCAGTCAAACAGACCCTTTCCATACGTCCCCCATATCAGCTACGGAAACCCTCTGCCTCATCCTCTCCAAGAAATCAAGCAAGACCATCCCCTCATATCAATAAAACTAGACACTTCTCCCTATATTAGCTCTGCAGACCCTCCTCACCGCCTCACATCAGCTATGCAGACCCTCCCCTCAATCCCCCATATCAGACATGCAGACCCTCCTTACACCATCAGCCGTGCAGACCCTCCCCTCATCCCATCAGCCGGGCAGACCCTCCTCACCCCCCCCCCCCCGCCCGTGCAGACCCTCCCCTCATGCCACCAGCCGCGCAGACCCTCCTCACCCCCTCCCCGCCCGTGCAGACCCTCCTCACTCTCCCGGGCCGCACACACCCTCCTCACTCTCCCCCCTCCCCGCCCTGCAGACCCTCCTCACTCTCCCCTCTCCCCGCCCGTGCAGACCCTCCTCACACCATCAGCCGTGCAGACCCTCCCCTCATCCCATCAGCCGGGCAGACCCTCCTCACCCTCACTCTCCCGGGCCGTGCAGACCCTCCTCACCCTCCCTCCCCGCCCGTGCAGACCCTCCCCATATCCCACCAGCCGCAGAGACGCTCCTTCCCCTCCCCCCCCGCCCGTGCAGACCCTCCTCACTCTCCCCCCTCCCCGCCCGTGCAGACCCTCCTCACTCTCCCCCCCCCGCCCGTGCAGACCCTCCTCACACCATCAGCCGTGCAGACCCTCCCCTCATCCCATCAGCCGGGCAGACCCTCCTCACCCTCCCTCCCCGCCCGTGCAGACCCTCCTCACCTCCTCCCGCCCGTGCAGACCCTCCTCACTCTCCCGGGCCGCACAGACCCTCCTCACTCTCCCCCCTCCCCGCCCGTGCAGACCCTCCCCTCGTCCCACCAGCCGCTCAGACGCTCTTCCCCCTCGCTCCCCCACACCCGCCCCACCCCGGGCCGCGCAGACCCCGGCCCGCCCGCCCGCACTCACGGGGCATCCTGGTGAGGACGTTGCGCGGCGCCTTCCTCCTGCGGCCGGGGCGCCCGCTGCTGCCCGGGCCGCCGGCCCCCGCGTCCGGCTCCTCCTTGGTCACCATGAGCCGGCGGAGCCGCTGGATGCGCTCGGGGTCCGGGGCCGGCGCTCCGCGGCGGCGGGAGGGCCGGCGCGCCGAGCCCGAGGCGGACGAGGCGGGGCCGGGGCCGGGCCGGGGACGCCCGCGGCCCCGGGGGCAGCCTGACCCCGCGTGCGGCCCCGGCCCCGGCCCCGGCCGCCCAGCCGGAGGAAGCTCTCGTACTCGGCCAGGTTGTTGAAGCAGGGCGCGTTGGGGTAGGGGATGGGCGGCAGGCGCGGCGCGTAGAGGGCCAGCAGCGGGTCGAAGCGGTCCGAGCTGACGTCCAGCCGCGGGCTGGGCGGGCTCCCGGGGCTCCCCGCCCTGCCCGGGGCCCCGCGCCGCTCCCGCTCCTCCATGTTTGAAACACCCGCAAGCGGAGGACGATGGGAAAAAGAACGCGTTCCCGCGGGGCGGCCGCAGTGCCCCGCGCCGCCACGAGGGGGCAGCAGCGCCCCGCGGCGGAGCAGTCCGGGATTGACAAGCGGGGAGGGGGGGTGCGGGGGGCGGAGGAGGAGCGAGCAGACACAGTGGCTTTGCCTGGGTCATTCCGGCAGGGAGCAGCGAAGCTGAGACGCTGCCGCTTGTCGGGAGGCGGGTTCTCCAGCTGAAATCCGTCGTACCCCCCCCCCACAGATGAGGCCCAGAGGAGCTGTCCGGACATAGTGCTGCTTAAACGTAGGTCCCTGAACCCACATCCGCTGGTGTTCACTGGAGCTGGAAGGAGCTTCAGTCCAACCTTGTCACTTTAGAGGAGGAAACCAAGACCCAGCAGATCAATGACACAAACGGTACGTACAGAGGCGGGACATGAAACCAGGCCCCCGGACTCCAATCCCGCGTCCCACGCCCGCGCTGCCTCTTAGAGCAAACATTCGTGTCGGGGCGATGTGCACTGTTGTTACTGAATTGATGTGCGTTATGGCCGGCTCCCTCTTCGACGATGTATGATTCGTGCGTGAAGGACAGAGCTGGCAAAGAGGGTTCTGAATAATCCGGTCTGTCCTGACTTACCGGCACTCCCCTGACTCACTCTGCAACAGCCCTGTCCATCGCAGATGTTCCAGGGAAATGAATTAAGTTACAATTAAGGCTGGGAAATAAATAATACTGATGGATGGACCCCAGCCATTGCTTTCCCACACTGAAGTGCACAGGCAGGCATCCTATTAGGATGCAATAGAAGACACAGCGATAAACAGGATACTGCGTTATTTAACACCCATTTAGGAAGCATTCCTGAGCAGCTGGATCTTTTAGCGAACATGTATCTAAGGAAATATTCTCTCAAGTGCTTAGATGAAGTGATAAAAGAAGATTCAAGGGGCCTTTAGCAAAAAAAAAAAATTTTTTTTTTAGGCAGACTAAGGAATTGAGTGAATTGGTGAACGGTCACCAAGGTGGAAAAACATAAATCACATACAGGGAACTCCAGAAATACAATATGGCTGGAATGTTAAGACTGTGTCCATGTAAATGTGAAATCAGGCTGGAAAGGTAGAGTGGAAGGTAGGAAACAAGCATTTATTAAGGGCCTACTGTGTGCCAGAAACTGTACTTAGGCATTTTACAAATATTTCATTTGATCCTCACAACAACTCTGGGAGGTAGGTGCTATTATTATTCCCATTCTACAGTTGAGGAAACTGAGGCAGACAGGTTAAACTTGCCCAGGATCACACAGCTAGGAAGTGTCTATTTGACAGATTTGAACTGAGGTCATTCTGACTCCAGCAGCTCTCTATCCATTGAGCTAGCTAGCTGCCCAGCTTGTGGCAGGCCTTTGAAACAGGAGAATCTTGAGAGCCTGGGGGTTGGGAGTTGAGAGAGCTTCTACAGTTTTAGGATAATGGGCTACCTGTTCCTGTAATGCTGTGTCATGATTCATGTGATGCTCTAATTTGGGGGATGTTCAATAGTCCTAATATAATAACGAAAGCTGGAAAATGTGGTTAAAGGCTCCAAAACCCACCAGCACTCCAGAGCCTTCCTAACAGTGAGATGGGTACTGCAACCAAGGCCTGTCCCAAATCGAGAGGGAGCTTTCTTGATAGATAGCATTTCTTCTGGGGTCAGAGGGAGAAGAATGTGGAGGCCCTGGACAAAATCATCGACTAGAGAATTAACCTAGGGAAATATTGTATATCAAGTTAGTGAACTATCCGATATGATTGCTGTGAAGTTATTTCAGATTGTCTTTTAAAAAAAATAAAGGAGAACCTTATTTACACACCAGTGTTTAGAGGTCAGTATGGGTCTTCTTTCCTCTCCTACCTCACCCCCCAAATCTGAGAGCGATGACAAGTCCTCTAAGTTTTAGGAGACTTTTTCACAAGTTACCACCACCAGACTGATGTATTATCTCATCACCTCTGCTAATGAACCTCTCCTATTACAGCTCTTAACAAGTAATTGGTTTTGCCTTGTCCTTGAAGCTTTTCTACCTTGGAAGGACCTATCAAAACCTCTCTGTACTCTGCTAGCATAGCTTTCAACAACTTGGGGTAATCTGCCAATCAAGATAAAGAATTAGGAGTAATTGGACCTTACTATGGTTACTTCTTCAGGTGCTCTTCCTTCCCGAATGTATGCCAAACACTGTGATAAGATAGTCCTTGCTTCCAAAGAGCTTATGTTTGAATAGGGGGATACAACATATATGAGAGTGGAGGCCAGGGACTTGTTTTGGTTTGGAAAGTCACAAAGATGGTGAGTGGAGCCACAGAGGGATCAATCACCAAGCCCTTTTCAGAAGTAGTGGAAGTTTTGGTTTGATTACTACTCTGAGGCGTAAGTGATTGTGGGGATACACACATGGGTTAGTGACAAAGGGATAGATTAGGTGGACAGTCAGATGGGATGCTTGAGGCTGGCTAGATACAATGGGACATGTGGACTGACTTGGGACAGGACAGACCCAGGACATCTGTTCCCAAGGTGAATGGATTATGTAATTTGGCAAGATCTCAGGAGGTCAAATGCTCCAGAGGGATCAGGAAAAATACATTAGTAGTCTAGAAAATAATAATGGGCTAAGGAGAGAAAGAAGGATTAAGGCAGCCAAATAGGGTGACTGTGAATACCTTTTGAGAGAATGCAGGGCCCCCAAATACAGCAGGCCAGAATGCTAAGTTCAAATTACTAGAATCTAAGTTACTTAAGGGCAGGGTTTCATTTCTGTGTCTGTACCCCCAGCTCATGGCACATGATATGCACTGACTAAATGCCTGGCTGGTTGATCGTTGGCTTATCTGACAAAGAAAATAAATATCCCAGAGAGCACAGCAGGCAGATAATCCTGAGCCAAAGTCACAGGATTCCCTGAGGGCAATTCTGGGGCAGAGAAGCTAGGGTCTGAGGATCATGGCTTATACACATATAAATGATACAAGACAGAATGAGGGTGAAGAAGAGTTCTAGTCAAAGAGTTTTAAGAGATCACTTTCAACTATGACAGGTTAAGGCTTCACAGTTGGACCATAAAAGTAGCTGATTGGTCCAACTCTGAAGCCTGAAAGACAGAGATGTTTAGGTAAGAGGCAGTAGAGTGGAGTTAGAGAAGGCATTCTAGTCATGGGAGATGGCCTACACAAATGCCCAGAAGGGTGCAGGACGGGAAGAGCTAGTAGTCCAGCTTGATTAGAAGGTAAAATGCATGCAGGGAAAAGGCATAAAGTAAGGCCAGAACAGTAGGATGGAACCACAATGTGCAGTGTTATAAATGCCAAGATAGATCTTGCATTTTACCCTATAGGCAGCTGTGAACCATTAAACAGTTTAAGCAAGAAAGTGACAGAAGAATGTATCTGGCAGGTGTGTGGTGTGAAGGAGGAGAACTTAAAAATCAGGGACCAGTTAGAATACTATTACTAGATGAATGCCTGAACTAGGGTGGAGGAGGCAGTTAGGAATAATTGAAGAGGTAGATTAGGAGAGGCAAAATGAGAGGTTTGGTAATTTAGGAAGAGGGAAACATCCAAGATGACTTAATAGCAACAGTGTTTCCCTGTGACCTACATGTCTTACATTAGCATTTCTAGCTAGGATAATACAGGATTCCAGAAAATTCCTAGGACAACAATTGGCCCCCTCTTGGAGGGCCAAACAAATTAAAATTAAAGTTCAGTACCTAGTACAGTGCCTTAACCACGATATGCACTTAACTTTAACTGAAAGGGATAGTCAAGGAACCCAAAGTTCAGGTATAAACCAGGGGTTGAGGAGACAAATCCTCGGAATTCAAAAAGCATTCTTTCTCCCCCAGAAAGCTGAGGTATCTCCAAATGATACTGTTTTCTGGCTGTAGTAATTAATATATTGCTATCAGTATACAGGACAAGCACAATTTAAATTCTTTAAAGTTGATGCAATATTGAGTTGTATCAAGAAATGGAAAATCATACCACACAGACTCATAAGCCTTTATTTCACCTTCAACAGGTTCACACAATTAACACCATAAATCAGCTATGTCTAACTCACAAAAGTTCCTGTTAGAATAGGAAGAGAGCCTGAAGTTGAACAGATGGGACGTCAACTAAGTTGGGGATGAGCCCAGACTTACACTTTGTAGTGATATATTTACTTCTTGGCGTTAAGCTTTACAAAAAAAAAACAGGATATGGGTTTCTTGAATGAGTTCCTGATGAATACATCAGGAATTTTTACTTCTTCAATTCACCTAATTATGTTTCATTCCCTCTCACTATGGATTCTAAGTAAACTGGTACCTTAACGTTAACAGTGATCCTGCCTGTTCTTGCCCTACCTATCTCTGTTCAGGCTAGCATCACCATCCCTAATTCAGAAGGAACAGTCCAGAACGACTATATTCAAGGGATTTTCTGCATCATTTTAAAATGAAAGCCCCTGTGATCCAATCATAAATACAAAGATCCATCTGCCCTTCAAAACCAGTCTGAGTCCCACAGCAAGAATCATTTACAGAGCCCTAAAAGAAAAAAAACTACATGAAACAGAACTGAACCAATTCACCTTTGCAAGTAGAAAAAGCTGTTCAGAAATTGGAAGATGAATGACTTTAAAATGCATAATTCTGTTATAATAAACAGCTCTCTGTGTTGGTATCTTTCTCTTGTGCTAAGCCCCTTGAGGAAGAACTATTACTTATACAAACTTTATCTCCAACACAGTAGGTATTTAATGCCTGTTGAAAAATGCAAGGAATTACTCAGGCCTGTTCCACTCCTCTATGCACCTCCTCTCCATACCCCTCTCTCATCCCCACAGAATGTATATTTCTTAGAAATTTGGATCTGAAATGCTACTCTTGGGAAGAAAGCTGAAAATAATAGCAGAGCCCATAAGAACAGAATGATTGCCCAATAATTCAGCCAACTGAAGTGTGCGCAGCTGGTCAATCTAGAGTTACCATAATTGAGAGATACAAAAACATATAACGCATAAACATGTTCGTGTTTATTTCCAGGTCTGCTAAGGAGAAATGTACACAGATCGATAAGAAGGGTGAGAATTTCAAGGTCACTATGTCCTAACTCTAAGCTAGTTAGGAGTAGGTGGCAGTTTTTAAAATGATTTATACCACAGTCTAAAAAGATTAATTATACAAGATATAGCTAACTGCTTTGCAAAAACAGTAACACAATTTTATTTGTGTTTTTGCAATGCAACCATGTTTCTATGGTACAAAAAAAGGTGCCCTGCTTTCAGAAGAGTAGGATGTGCTACCTCTTTCTCCCTCCCCCCAAAACTGCTCTTTCTTGCTGCTTACATACAATGTGTATTTCACAGAGCTCTAACTAATGTCAGAGTAGTTTAGCCAGCAAGAATCCGATGCCTGCATGGATAACCACAACAAAGGAAAAGACAAATAAGTCAGCTGTCATCTTCAAGGATCTCAGGATGCTCTTTCCAGAAGGCATCACCAATGATATCACAGTGTAAAGCAACTGGTTTAGTCCTTGTCCGTGTCACTTCAACTTTTTTTTCTTCTGTTTCTCCCGGAAGCTTGATTTCCTTTGATATAACTTCTTTAATCTACAAATAACAGTTTATTAAATTATAAGAGACTATCAAGAACCAGAAGGATACCACCAATCTCTCTCCCCAACCACTCCCTGGTATTAAAAAGTAGTCAGGATGACTGTTTCCATCTTCATGCCTGTAGTTAAAAAAACATTGCATTTTACTCCAGGGGGGTTTTGTTCAACAGCTTGTATTTTTAAAGTACTTTAAAGTTAACTTGCCCAAAAACACATACTAGTAACTGCCAAAGCTAGGACCTGACTCTGAATCTGTCTTCTGATTCCCACTGCAAACATTATAGAAATGTTTGGCTGACTCACAGATTTACATGAACATTGGGCAGAAGGCCTAGTTCTGCTTAGCCTTGGGACAGATTACTTCTCGGAGGCTTAATTTTCCTCAACTGTAAAATGAAGTTATTCCTCATGTCGCTTCTAGCTCTACATTGCATGAGATGGGTATTCCAATTCAGACTGAGTTTACAGGATACAGACTAGTCAGGTGCTGCAGTGGATAGAGCGCCGGCCCTGGAGTCAGGAGGACCTGAGTTCAAATCCAGCCTCAGACACCTGATACTTACTAGCTGTGTGACATTGGGCAAGCCACTTATAACCCCATTGCCTAGGCCCCCCCAAAAAAAATACAGACTGGTCAGCATCTTTTTTCTTATGAACACCATTTTATGTATTTACAGGTAGATTATAAAGAGAGGCCAAGAATTAGTAGCCAACAAGAAAGTCTTAAGCAGTTACTAATAGTTTATTAAAAATACAAGAGCTGATTGATCTGAAGCTGTAGTCATTCCTCTGTCCCGTCCCCTTTGCAATCATATTTCTTACCTTTTTCCATATGAGTACAGTTCCTTTCCTGTACATTGGTGGTTCATTATTGTAGTTAATGTTGTATTCAGAAAACAAAATTTCATTCTTATCTGCAGCAAGTGTTCCCTAGGATTAAAAAAAATACACAAGATTTTATATCCTCCTTAACCCTACCCCCAATCTAGGCCAATGAACCAGTAAAACAATAAGAGGAAGGGAAATAAAATTTTAAAATATTTTAAGGGCTTTTATCTGTAACTGTGAAATAGATTTGCATTTTAAAGAACAGTTCAAACCATTTCAGTTTCTAAAATCATAAAACTCTCCATCTGCCATCATCAAACCAGTGGCTTTACAAGCCAAAACAGTGACCTGAGGACGAAGACAATATAAATGGTAACCTTTCTCAATGGTGCAAGGGACAAGACTATCACTTACCTTATCAACAAGCACATATTAAACACCTGCTATCTGCTAGGCCCTATGTATGCTAGCTGCTGGGGGTACATACAAAGGCCAAGAATTAACAATCCTATACTTAAGAACCTTGTAAGCTAACCACATTATAACTGACTTTACTAGAGCTAGTCCTGCATTGACTTGATCATGAGATCATAGATTGAGAGCCAAAAGGATCTTTAACAGAGGCCATCTCATCCAACTCTCTCATTTCATCGATGAGGAAACTGAGGCCCAGAGGTTAAATGGCTTGCCCAAGATCACACAGAAAGTGTCCAAGCCAAGTGGTGAATCCAGGCACTCTGACTGCAAAGCTGCGGCGCCCTTCTCCACATTAGCTTGTGATGCAACAGAATGTGGATGCCATTGACCTGTGTTATAATGGCATTCTATAACGCGTCTTTTCAAATAACATATAACCTAGCAAAAATCCTCATTTAACAAATGTTAATTGGCTTTCAAAAACATATAGCATTCTCTATTATCTTGGAAGTATCTGTGGCATGGTGAAACGAGCACTGGCCTGTATGCCAGGAGACTTAGATAGTCCCAGCTTTATCCTTATGTGGCCTTGGCCTTCACTGGGCCTCTGTTTCCTAGTGTTTCAAATGAAGGGAGTAGACTAGATGACTTCTAGGTCCTATTTACCTTGACACTCTAATTTTCTGACCTATCAAAAAAAACAACTGCATTAAAGGATACAAGGTAAACTTTTGTAGGAAACATTTATACAAAATTAAATTAATGGGCAAAGAGTAAGACTGTAACATTTTCATACCTGTAATCTTTCTTGAGCTTGTGCTGGTGTTAATTTAGATCTCTGTATCAGCATCCAGAAAACCGTGTTATAAAGATTGTTAATGTGACCTGGACAGAAAAAGTTCAAAAATGTACATGCAACATTCACAGTCCAAAGGAATCACTTTCCTATCGATTCCTCTCCCCCACCCCCAACGATATCTTTCTACTTCAGATGGAGAGCTCAGAGACAATGAACCGTATGTATGTGCATTTATATTTTAAAATGTTACATAGTTTTAAAATAGACATATAAATATATATATTTTACAAGTTCAATGCACATGTGGAGTGCCTACTGTGTATAAGACAAGTGTTAATATCAGTGGACAAACCTTTGTTTTCAGTTACATTTATTACTATCCTTTTCACTCAGATTAATGCCAGTTGAAAAACACCTTAAGGGAACATTTCCAAAATTATGTGATTTAAATTCCTAATTTTGTCTAAGCTCCCCAGGAGCTAGTTAAATGAATAAAAAGTCAAAGACAGTTTGTATTAGATAGTACATATCCTTGGAATTTCATTGTTTTTAAAAATACTTACAGTCTGCTTGTCGCCAACTGAGATAGTCCTTTAAGGTCTGGTTGCTAGGATACACTACAACTCTTCCATCAAAGGCTGGAGGATATAGAAGGTCCTGGTCCTTAAAGTAATCCTTCCAATAGAAGACATAGCTGGAGGCAAACTGAGAGGCCACGTTGGTCATAAATTTACTTGTAAGCACAGAGAAAGGACAGAGACAGAAAACATGTCATGTTAATATTTACACAGCACAGGGATTACGGGGCACAACAAGGAATTTACAGCTATCGGCAACAATAACGGGAATACTTAGTTCCCAGGATTTCTAAGGAAAGTACCTCCCTTCAACAAAGAGCAGCTTCCTGAACTTAGGGGCACTTAATAATGTCCCGTAAACTGAACTATTAGTATTATTTCTCTCCCCAGTAATTTGATTCCAGCAAATGCATTTAGTATTTATTATGTGATAGGGCAGCTACATGGTGCAGCGGATAGATCAACAGGCCTGGACTGAGGAAGACCTAAATTCAAATCTGACCTCAGACGCCTACTAGCTGAGTGACCCTGGGCAAGTCGTTTAACCCTGTCTGCCTCAGTTTCCTCATCTGTAAAATGAGCTGGAGAAGGAAATGGCGAACCGATCTAGTATCTTTGCCAAGAAAACCCCAAATGGGGTCACAAAGACTCAACAACAACAACAAACGTAACAAGCACCGTGGTAGGCACTAAAAGACCAAAAGAATTTTTTTTTACAGTTCCTATACATACAAACATAAGGACATGCAAACTACATGGCAATACTTAGAGGAAACTAGCAACTGGTAAGATGGGTCTCATTTGGGAAGTGGCACTGAGCTGTATGTTGTAGGAAGCTCCACAGGTAAGATGGGGGAGCGCTCCTGACACAGGGAGTAACCTACACAAAAGTGCTGAGGTGGATACAGAAACAAGTAGGCCAAAGTGGAGGAACAAGCTTTACGGTATTTAGATGCCAGAGGAATTTGATATCATGGCAACAGTGCGCTCTCTGAACATTTAGTGACGTTTTCAGATCTGTGCTTCAGGGACATCAATTTGGCATCTGTGGAGGGTGGATTCGAAAGGGGAGAGATCAGAAGGAGGGACAATGAGGTTAGAGATCAAACGACAGTAGTAGTTTTATTCGAAGAGAGAAAAGGTAGAATGTGTTAAATCGAAGACTACTGAACTGGTAGAGCTCCTTTAGTTCAAACCTCTCATTTTCCAGAAGGAAACTGAAACCCAAAAGAGAAGTTAACTTAGCAAGGATATAGGGCTAATAAGTAAAAAAGACAGTGCTAGAACTAATTCGTAGGCTAGTACTTCCCTACTACATCATAATGTCTCTCTTAAAGGACTAATATGTTTTGAAAAGGAAAACTACTTTAGCTTTAAAAAGTCTATGTAACTGGCAATTTATTTGCTATGATGCTTTCACAACATTTTTATACCTCAAACCTCTAGCCCTTCCAAAGAAACACTGTTGTCTATGTAAGAGCTATGCGGAGCTCTTAATCAATTTCACAGATTCATTTCTAGTCCCTGAGGAATCTAGAATCCCAGGTCAAACCAGAAACCAAGACTCTAGGAGGAGAAGAAAAGACAAGGAATAAAAATAAAGAGATACTTGTAAGACTAAAGAGGAAATGTTGAAAAATCATGATGAAAGTAAAAGGGGTGACAACTGTCTAGAGGAAAACAGCTTGACCGGAAGAGATGGGAGATTCAAGAGAAATTACCTGGCTCTTCTTCTAAACCAATTACTCTTCCGTTTGAATACAAAGCTATATTCATCACTTTGTCCATATGCCATGACAATATCTTCTAGTTGTATCATTACAGTCTGGGCACATTGGGTCATCAATTCCAGGGCTCGGCTATCATTGGGTTTTGCAAAGTTGTGTTTTTCGGCAAAGCTTCATTGTGGGAAGGAGGAGAAACAAAGGTAAGTTTTCATGAAGGAAGTTAAGCAAAGAGAACATAACGTAAAAACAGGAACAGCAACACTGCAGAGGCCAAGTAGCATGCAGGGTTTACAGTCAGGAAGACTCTGGTTCAAGCTGTGTGACCAAGGAGAAGTCACCTAACATCTATGATTTGAGCAACATTTTAAATACCATGTTAAAGACTATCAAATAACAGTACTTTATTTCTTCACTTCTGTCTCCTCAAGGGCCTTTCCTGCTCTGACCAGGAGAAGGAAATTCAGGCTTTATTCCATGACTCTATCTTTCCTTCAATTCTACGCCACACTTATCTTCTCTTGCCCCTCTCTCCTTAGGTATTCTGGCACATCTGGACAATTTGTGGAAACCAGTTAAACTAAAACTCCGCAAGCATGGGTGTTTAATAAATATTAACGGATACAATAAACATTAGAAGCCATTTATTCTAACCTCCTCAGTTCAGAGGAGGAAAGCAACTTTCTAGAAGTCACTGGACCTCAAATAAAAGTAGTACAGGGCAGAGCCATACTCAGACTCTGCTTCTCTGCCTTTCAGAAAGGCATATTTTCTACATCCTGTGTACTGCCCCCCTCAAAATCCTAAACAGATTTTTTTTTGGATGCTCTTTAGATAATGTGGATACAGAGGGCCATTTAGTTAACCAGTTGCAAACCTGAGGGAAAAGATCTCATGGGAAGGGGATGTACTTTGCTATCAGTTCTCTGGGCTGCTGATAAATCACATCAAGTTCACTTTCAATCAAGCCCCAAGAGAGAATACATCTACAACTCCTGTTCCTACTGATAAAGTACTTTTAGGACACGCAAAGGCCTTTCTTCACAACACTCCCCAGTTCCTTTCCCAAGATGGCTAGTTAAAGAACTGTTGGACAAGCCCCCCTACCATCCCAAAAGGAAAAGACGGCTCAAAGTGGTTAAAATGACTTCCCCAAAACCACGCGGCACGTAACTGGCAGAACTAGGGCTGAAACCCAAAGCTTCTTGCTCTCTTCTACTGAGAGCTGAATCTTGCCCTCTTTGAACTTCAGTAATGGCCAGGCTCCTGTCCAGGCTTTCGGCTGCCTCTCCAGGGCGTGAAAGGGAGTGACGCTTTCTACCGCAAGCTCATTGGCTGCGGGGTTCCCCTGGTAACGGAGAAGGGGAAGTGGACGGCTAGGAGGGAAGGGCAAGAGAAGAGAGGGAGGGGGAAGTGCGGGGGGGGGGTTGAAAGGGGACCCGCCCCGGAAGCGCATGCGAGCCACGCGAGCTCCCGGGCAGCGCTCTCACCGATGGAAGTTCCTTCCGTCTAGCCGCACGACCACCCAACAGTGGGCCAGGCATGTGTCATCCATCTCGAAATCTCGTACATACTCGAATTTGCTCTTCGCCATAGCAACCCTGCTGCTAACGGCGACTCTACGGCAAGAGGGAGCAACAGCCAAACTCACACGAGAGGCGACTATGGCAGTGTTTATAACCCACATTTCCGGCCTGGAGAAAAGAAAACGCCCCGCCCCGGAAGCGTCTGTTCCCGACCTGGCTCCTCTAGCCCGCCTGGAGGACCTTCTTCTCGCTCTACCTTTCTGTTTCACTCCCGTCTCTGCTTCTCCAGTCTGGTCCCTGATCTCTCGCTAGGTATAATGGGGGGATTTCCATTTGCTCTGTCCGGGCTTTCTCACTAGCCACTTCAGTTTTCCGCAGAAACCACACTCACGAAAGTCTCTAATAGCTTCCTCTTGGCCAAGTTTCTCATCCTTTTTAGTCCAGTTTGTTAAGGGGTCCCCTGAACTTGTCTTTTTGAGTTGCCCTATTTTTCAGAAACACTGGACCCAGAGCATGCGGGAGGCCCTGAATGTGTCAAGGACGAAGCTCCCCTCGAGCTGACACAATTTGTTGTTGAGCCCCAAACTGGACTTCCTGTGCGTCCTTGAGAGGCAAGTCAGACTTTCCAGCCTGAGATAATGCTTGTGCAACTGGAGACTTTTGCAGATAAGCAGACCCTCCTATCTTCATAGCCTAACAGTTCCCAAGGGAAAATAATGAGGCATTTGCCATCACCTTGCTCCTCCCCACGGGGAGTGGTCTTGTTTTTTTCCCACCTTTGCTGCACTGTTCCCCCTTACCGGTATCCTCTCCTCCCTTTGTTCTGCTGTTATAAAAATGTAAGCTGTAAAGACTGGGAACTCTTTGGGTTCCACGTGCATGTTCATTTCTCTTGTAATAAACCTGGTTTTCACAATAAGTTCAACCTTTAAGTGTCTGTCTTGCACAGAATAGGGGATTGGAGTATTGGGCAACACAGAGAGGACACAGCCTCAGCCCATGGGAAATTTGTAGTTTAATGTCAGGGAAGGAAGCCAAGAGGCCTGGATCTGAATGTGCCTCAGACTCCAGCTATGGGATCCTGGACAAATCATAAACTTTCAGAAACCCAGTTTCCTTATCTGCCAAATGAGAGTAATAATACATACACTACATCCTTCATAGCATTGTGAAGAATAAGAGCTTAGAAAACATGAGTTATTATGTAGGTGAATGATACAAGGAGTATAGCAAGAGTCCGGCAAAGGGTTAATGAGTTATTTGAGTATATGCAAACTATATGACAATAATTAGGGGAAACTAGCAACTGGTAGGATGGGTCTCATTTGTGAAGTTAGAGTTGTTAAGGGAAGACTCCTTGGAGGAGGTGGCACCTGAGTTGGGTCTTGAAGAAAGGGAGGGGCTTTAACTAGCAGTGATAGGATGGGGGTAGGGAGGAAGTCATTAGTCCAGTTTACCTATGTGAGACAGCCTTGGAGATAGCAGGATAAGAAAGGGGATGGAGTATAGCTTGGTTTAACTGGAATGTAGAGAACATAGTAGGATCATAAATTTAGAGGTGGAAGGGACTTTTCTAGCCTTTTTCTAAAATAATTCTCTTATTTTACAGAGGGAGAAAATGAGACTTAGAAAACTTAAATGACTTGCCCTGCCGTACATCTGGTAATTGTGAGACAGGATTCAAACTCAAAGCTTTATGACTCCAACACTCTCTGTTGGACTCTATTTGCCACGTCTTCAGTTTAGAACTAAAATGGACCTTGGGGTTAGTGGCTTAGAGGCAGCATGGTTTTGGGAAAAGAGTACTGGATTCAAAATTAGGAGAAACCTGTGTTTGAATCCTACTCCTGACGGTGGGGTCATAGACAAGTCACAACCTTTATGAGCCTCATATTTCTATTTATAACATGGGGTTAACGCCTGTAGCACCTATCTTATATGGCTATTGTGAGGCTCAAAAGGGAGGATATGTATTAAAGTACATTGCCAACCTGAAAGTACTATATAAATGTCAGCTATTATCACCTAATCCAATCCTCTGGTTATAAAGAGGAAGAAGTAGAAGGAAAATGACAGGTGTCTTCTTCAACTCCCCACTCTCTCTCACTGCCCATAGCCAATCCGTTGCTATGGCCTGACTCTCCAATACAATCTTTTTTCTGCTCTGACATAGCCACTACTCTGGTACGAGCCCTCCTCACGTCACAGGGTGGACTATTGCAGTAGCCTACTGGTGTATCTGCCGGCTTCAAGTCTCTTCCCACTCCACTCTAGCCTCCATTCAGTCACTAAAGTGATTTTCCTAAAGTACAGGTTCAACCATGTCACCCCATACTCAATAAACTCCAGTGGTTTCCTATTGCCTCTAGGATCAAATACAAAATTCTCTGTTTGTCCTTCATAACTCAGTCCCCTTTTACCTTTCCAGTCTATTTATACCTTACTTCCCACTTCATACTTTTCAAGTCAGTGACACTGGCCTCCTTGCTGTTCCATGAACAAGACACTCTTCCCAACTCAGGAGTTTCCCATACCTGAAATGTTCTCCCTTTACATCTCTGCCTAGCTTCCCTAGCTTCCTTAAAGTTCCAACTAAAATCTCATCTTCTACAGGAAGCCTTTCCCAACCCTTCTTAAATCAAGTGCCTTCCCTTCTCTTAATTATTTCCTATTTATCCTGTACATAGCTTGTTTGTCCGTATTTGTTTACTTGTCCCCCTCATTAGATTGTGAGCTCTTTGAAGGCAGAGCCTGTCTTTTGCCTCTTTTTGTATTCTTAAAGCTTAGCACAACACCTGGCATATGTTGTTGATCAGTTGTGTCCAATTCCTTGTGACCCTGTATGGAGTTTTAGCAAAGATGTTGGAGTGGTTTGCCATTTCTTTCGTCAGTAGATGAAGGCAAACAGAGGTTAAATGACTTGCCCAGTCATACAGCTAGTGAGTGTCTGAGGCTGGATGTGAATTCAGGTCTTTCTGACCCAGCACTCTATCCACTGAGCCACCTAGCTGCCTCCAATATATAGTAGGTGCTTAATAAATATTTATTGACTGATTAACAAGTAGAAGAGCCAGGATTTTTGTCTAGGTCCTCTTGACTTTAAATACATTGCTCTTTCCACTGTACCAGTGCTCTCCAGGTTGTTAAAGGCCTAATTACCAGGATAGGGATCTTATTTATTACTTTGTTACCATCTATTTTGCCACTGCACCCTATGGACCATTTGGCCCTTCCATCTGACTTGTGGCTGAAAAATTCTGTATGAGCTGCCTCTCCCAATGAGCTTCTTGAGAACAGGGGCGGTCTTACATAGAATAAGCACTTAAGCCTTATTCATTCATTCATTCATTCACTATTTGATAGGCAATGGGGAATCGCCAATAATTTCTTTTTTAACCAAGGGTCTAATATGATCAGAACAGTACACTGCTTGGGCAACTTGGGAAGAATGAGCCAGATTGGAAATAAACTGGAAATTCATAACCTTTTTCCTTCTGTTCTTTTTCTTAGTGGAATGAAGTTGCTGTTACCAAAGGTTGTCACAAAATTGTGGATCTGAAATAGACCTAAGAGCTCATTGGGCCAATGCCCTTATTTTCTAGATAAGGAAACTCAAGTCTGGAAAGAAGTAACTTGTCCAAATGCACAGCTAAGTAGCTGAGATTAGAAGCCAGATTCCTTGGTTTCTATCCCAAGGCTCTTTTTCATCCCTACCTCTCCCTCCATGGACATTGAGTTACTCAGAAATCCTTTAATAATTCCATGAATTTTAAAAAATAATTCCTTCTTCTACTATCTTGGCTCACTAGTTCCCCTAGAGCTACAGTGTCTTGTGGATCCTGAATTTTCTGATATAATCCTGATTTCAAAAGAAGATATATTTTTTAAAATAAATTTTGATAGCTTTTGTTTTTACATTGTCAACATTTCTCCCAGTATTTCCTCCCCCCTTCCTCCTCCCAGAGAGTTCTCCCATATATGCCATATATACCATATAATGATTGGGGTTTTTTTTAAAGAAAAGAGGAAGAAAAATGCTTATTGACTGACTGATGGCAACTTTTTTCTCTTGATGACTTCCTTGGGGTAAAAAGATGTACAGGATGTCCCAAAGACACTTCCCAAACTCCCATGTCTTTGGTCTCAGTGCTTAGACTTCTGGGACACCCTGTAGTTTTAATTAGGCTTTGAACAACTAGCATCCTTTGTCAGACAATCTATCCCATTTTTCTGAAAATACAGTCACTGTAGCTATAGAGCTTATACCACTCATTTGACACTTGCACTGCCTTATATTTGTAGTATAATTTTAGCACTTTCTGTGGTTCTATGACCTTATGAATGTGGGGCCTTTTTCTAATAGTGCAGATTGCCACTTATTTACACCTTTTCAACCTGTGAGATTCTTATCTATATCCTCTAGCAAATCCTCCAAGTTTGAGGCCTTCCTCCAAGTCTTTTAATTTTCTGTGAGTACTGATGCAAACTATCCTTCTGTTATTCCTTCTTACACCTCATAACTGTCTAGTTCACCTCATCTCCTTTCTTCATCATACATTCAACATTCATTAATGAAGACCATACCATGTGCCAGGCTCCATGCTTGACCTTGGGCATACAAAACCAAAAATGAAACAGTCTCTGTTCTCAAGAAGCTTATAGTCTATTGAGGTAAAACAAAGAGTATACAAAAAATTAAATATGAAACATACAAAGCAAATACCAAGGAACTTCTGGGAAGGACTCTAACATTAGGGGGAATCAGACAAGCTTCTTGTAGGATATGAGCTGATCCATAGGAGGCATGGATTCTGTGAGGTGAGGTGAGAAGGGAACTCATTCCAGGAATGGAGGCAGTCTATGCAAAGGAATGAAGATGGGAAATAGAACATCTGAGGTGATGGACACCAATTTGGCTGGACTACAGAGATGATGGAGAACAATGTGACATAAGCCTAGAAAGACAGGCTGAAGCCAGATTATGAAGTGCCCATGAAGACATGCCCACCAAAGGAGTTTGTGTTTTATCCTAGACTTAGCAAGAGGGAGTCAGCAGAACCTCTTTGCTAATCTCTTCAGTGGTATCTCTTGTGCTGCCTCTCATGGGTAACATGATGGGACTTATGTTACATCCTACTTATACCCACCTTGTATCTTTTTCCATTGTCCCATAACTTGGGTTATTTTCAGAGCTTATAGCACTGCTATTTTATGATTGACAGCATCAGAAGGATATGGATGAAGGACAGTTAGGTGATGCAGTGGATAGAGCATTAGCCCTAGAGTCAGGACCACTTGAGTTCAAATACGGTTTCAGACACTTACTAGCTGTGTGAGCCTGGGCAAGTTACTTAACCCTGATTGCCTCAAAAAAAGAAGAAAAGAAGGATACGAATGTTAAATAAGGCGAGTTTTGTGCCAGGGAACCCCCTGAGGTCTTTGAAAGTGCTACATAATCTCCTAAATGCAATCCACATTGTTCTCTTCCTTGTATTCAATTGCCTATCTGCAGTTCTAGTCCCAGGTGTACAGACTGATGAATTAACTTAGTGGCTACCCGTTCAGCTACGTAATAATATGGAAAATAGGTGCACTTAATCTGTTTAGTTTAACTAGAGATCACGTTGAGAGATACAATGGTAGAGGTTTCTCTACTCAACAAACCTGGTATTATCAATGTTAGACTACTATGAAGTGATTATATATGCTTGACAGAAATGTCATTATGAAGAAGTTTCCCAAAAATCACAAAACAAGAAGAATTAAAAGCCTGATGATAACATTAACAATGTCGTAGATTAAAAAAAAAATAACACAAACCTTCTTGCCAGTCAAATAAAATCAATTCAGTTGAATACGTTTTTGAATCTTACATTGCA